AGTACAGAGGACAACTTTTCTAGGTCAGTCAGACGTTTTAAAATCTTGAGTAAGACTCTAAACTAAGTCCCCCGAATGAGGGTTAAACACTTGAACAACCCACGTTTTGGGGAGGGTTGGTTGCGTTTTAAAATCTTGAGTAAGGCACTAAAGTAACCCCCTTCGGGGGGTTAGTTTAGTTTCTTTTTGGTTGAATATTATTATTAGTATCAGATTACCTTTTTGGTGTTGGCAACGTCTTCTTTCACTTTCCTTCATTTCTTAAATAGTTTTATGTCGCTGTTCGGAGGCGATGTGCTGCTTCTGGAGCAGTGATAATGCGACTGGCTTGATAGTTTTTGATTTCTTTGTTGTGAAGCGTTATTTGTTTCCTCGGCATTGTTGTGTTCCACAACAATGCCGATTTTGTTTATAGTTGACATTGTTGATGACGTAATTTATTGACGACAACGACTAATCACAAATTTTTATAAGGAGATAACCAGAGCTTCCATAAGTCAGTTATTTACGATCTTGCAGATAATTGCCAAAGCTTGCTTAAGTCAGCTGCTCAGGATACTTTAGATTATTACTAGAGCTTTATTAAGTAAGCTCTGGTAATGATCTACCAGAGCTTCCATAAGTCAGTTATTTACGATCTTGCAGATAATTGCCAAAGCTTGCTTAAGTCAGCTGCTCAGGATACTTTAGATTATTACTAGAGCTTTATTAAGTAAGCTCTGGTAATGATCTACCAGAGCTTCCATAAGTCAGTTAATTACGATCCTGCAGATAATTTCCAAAGCTTGCTTAAGTCAGCTGCTCACGATACTTTAGATTATTACTAGAGCTTTATTAAGTAAGCTCTATTAATGATCTACCAGAGCTTCTATAAGTCAGTTATTTACGATCTTGCAGATAATTGCCAAAGCTTGCTTAAGTCAGCTGCTCAGGATACTTTAGATTATTACTAAAGCTTTATTAAGTAAGCTCTGGTAATGATCTACCAGAGCTTCCATAAGTCAGTTATTTACGATCTTGCAGATAATTGCCAAAGCTTGCTTAAGTCAGCTGCTCAGGATACTTTAGATTATTACTAAAGCTTTATTAAGTAAGCTCTGGTAATGATCTACCAGAGCTTCCATAAGTCAGTTATTTACGATCCTGCAGATAATTTCCAAAGCTTGCTTAAGTCAGCTGTTCACGATCCTTTGGTTTATACCAGAGTTTATTAAGTAATTAGGAACCTATAGGAACCAGAGCTTTCGAAAGTTAGTTATTCACGATTTTGCAGATTATTACTAAAACTTTCTTTGGCCAGTTACAGTTGCCTGATTACTTTTTAGTCAGCAGAACTGAGAGGAAGAGACCACTTGGGAAATGTACGGATACGTGGGAGATAACATTAGAATGGTGTTTAGAAAAATGGGCTTCTAGAGGTTAGGATCGATTCGCATGGCTCAGGCTATTAATGGGTGGCGGTCTCTTGCGAATGTGGAAATTAACCTTAGGATTCCATAAAAACACGGGGAATTCCGTGAAAAGCTAACTGATTAATCACTTTCATTAACGACTCTGCATTATGGAATTATTTGATTATACAGTATCTGAAGCTTGAAAGTCCATATTATTCAGTGTTAGCCGTGAAGCCCTTGCTAATTTTGTATGCAAGAATGGAGGGCAACCAATTTATGATATCAGAGCTATGTAAGTTGAAGGCTGTTTAGAACTTCAGGACAAGAACTTTGAGGTCACTGTATGTTAAGTGCCATTGGGAAAGAAATATAAAGTGATCTGAGTAACTCAGCCTTGTGAATGAATTAAATATGCTGACAGGATCAGATGTAGAAACTATTATTCCTACCATCACAAATCTGGCCTTACCCTACGAAACTTCATCTAGCTGACTTCTTCTTTAGAAACTTATATTTACTCAGCTTGTCAAGAAGTTACCCACTGTCTTTGGAACCTGATGTTTTATTACCATGTTAGATAAACACGTCACTTGGACCCTATCTTAAGCCAGATTAATACAATCCACACCCTTACGCGTAATAGCTTTAAGAAATGTTTCAATATTTTCTCCTATCTACACTTTTGTCTAACAAATGTTTTCCTCCTTTCAGATTTTCAGACGAAAATCCTGTATTTGTTTCGGCCACCCTCACTGATGTTTCCGTGGTTTTCCTCAATTGTGTGGGAAATACCAGAATATATTTCAAAAAGAGAACGGCTCCCCGAATCCAATAATTGGACCTAGCAATGTCCTTCAGTTAATGTGTTCATAACCTTTATGTTCCAACCCTAGACGTCCATCCAACGAAAGTTTCTTTTGATACAAATGTCACCTATTTTTTTCTGAGTAACCTATGAATAGGGTAGACCTGTCTAAGTTTTCTGCATTGCACGAATTTCTTATTTATTTTCGAATTTGATTAATCATGTGATACGAAAAAAATTCGCGTTATATCGATACGCTGAATACATATCGCTATTCAGTATATTTCCCCGATATTTCATATCGATTTTTCGATATCGACTGATATCCCTAATAAAACTGAATAATAACTTTTTAATACCACGTTTTATTAAAATAGTTGGCTGGAGTTAAGTAAACTGTCGACATTTCTTGAGAAATGTTATTCAAGTCACACCTTATTCTATTTGTAAGCAGGAACGTTCCGTCGTGGAATGTAAGAGGCAGGTCCCAGCACTTGCCTTGCACTACACATTCTGCCAGCAATGCTTCTGAAACGGACAGGTGTGCCTCGTAACATATGCGAAATCATTTCGCGTTACAGACTTCTCTACGTTTTCAAACATTTTCACACACCTAAACCAATTCATTTTGTTCATTCTAAAACGAACACCAACCCATGACATTAGGATGGCCATCTAATATATTGTTACGCCGTATAGTCTGGTAGACATTTGACGACATTTCAGATATGCTTTCTGCACGGCGGAACAACACAGAAGACAGTCATTTTTATACTCACCGCCGTGATAACCTGAAATCTTAACCCATGACATTTCGTCCGTGTGAACCAAGTGACAGATGTGTATAACAGTATATATAAAACAGACTCGCGACCTGCCTGCGTACATTTTTTATAATGTTGTATCACCATGTATGATAACAAATATTTATCTGAAATCAGAAAACACATTTTTATGTCTTCAATATTTTACAGCACGAGCATGAGATGAACGTCAATTCGAGGATTAGAGCACATTTTACTGATAAACACATGCTTATTGTAACGAAGGATATTCTTAAATAGAACTACTGCAATACTATACCTAATTTATTAGTATCTGTAATACATTTTAGTGGTATTTCGATAATTTGTCTTCATTTTTAACTTTGCCAATCTATAAGGAAGTGTAATATGACCCAGGTATGAGAAACTCTGTGATCCCCTGCTTTAGGCGTAATGTACGCTTGGAAAATACAACACTAAAGGTATTTTTCCACCAGTTACTCTGTTTTTGATGGAGAACCTTTGAAAGAGCTGGTTGCATGGTAGAGTAGGGGAGACAAATTTTCCATTACTCTGAAGGTCACGATGTTAGTGGGAGAATGTAAAACACACATGTAATTGGGAGGAAGAAAGACTAGGAAACAATACAACTGTAAATGCATGAGAGAGCGAGGCTTACGAAGGACAAATCACATGAGAAGTTTCCAGCGTCTGACCCCGATATAAGCAAATGTATTTTAAAGTCCTTTATGAAGCCCTGCTTTTTTATCGATATACAGATATCGAAAGTTTATTATATGACCGATTGTTGTAAGTCATTTCAAAAATCTTACTCTTCGCAAAGTTATTTACTCGGAGTACAACAGTAGCTTGTTAAAAAGAGAATATCAGTTCACAAGTAGCTGATATCAGTGTGCAGATATAACGTTATAACAAGATGCATGTCGCTGGTTTACACAGCTGGATAGGGCGAGGGTCAAATTAATTCTGATGACTGCCGTACACTCCATGACAAAACACATTTGACTTTAACTCCACGCAGCAGAGCCACTCAGCTGAATAATAAGTTACCAACCTTTATGGAATCCAAAAGTTCATTACCGTATTAACAAAATCCCTATCCCAAAACACTCATATTTTATCTTAGATTGATCTGAATATTTGTTTCCTTCTATGCCCGTGTCGGGTATCCCAACTAAAAGCTTGTATGCACTTCTCATAGTCTCATGCGTGCTACATTCCCCACCCATCTAAGAGGTGTTGTACATGTCAGTTTTTTAACTAAACTAATTCTGCTGTAATGCAAACCGAAGTTTCAACACCAAAGGTTCGGTACTGTTAAAACCAAATCCAGCATTTTCTTTCACAGTCACAACATAATTTGAATGCATCTTTGTGCTGTCTGTCTGTCTGAGTGACTCGTCTTTTTCACCAAATTTCATGATCTGTTTCACAGAAAATATTACAATATCAATTCATAATCACAGATTTTAATATTTTCTGTTTCAACTTCCAATTGTCATAATGACGCCTAGCGGAGTGAGCCCTGTTTCGTCACAGAATGGCGCGTTCTTAGTTTGAGGTTAGAGCAGACCTCCCCCAAACATAGAGGGTAGTTGGGAACATATTAAATTAACAGCTGTGGACGGCAGATAAGGGGTGGTCCTCCTGTTTGGGGGCGTCCGGCGGGGGACTAAGAATTTCCCACAACAAAGTACTGGCATGTTATGAAATGTTACGCAGGGCCGTGGATTTCCACGGATTCTCTTTGAAGATTAAAATACACGAAATTATGATTTTGCCTCTTGTTTTATATGGCGTAAAACCTATTTATCACGTTAAGGAAAGAATAAAGATTTATGGTGTCTTTGTTAACAGGATACTAAGGGGGAAATTTGTACCTAATTGGGATGAAATTACGAGAGGATACGTATATTTAAATAATGACGAGCTTACATAGTTTGTACACTAAATCAAATTGTTAATAGAATGTCTTTTGTTTTGTTTCAGGTCTAAGTGCTGATGGAAAGACATCAGATAATATATCGATCGTATATCATCAGAGCTCAACACCAGGTCAGTAGTATATTCACTAATTTTTTAAATATTGGTAGACCTGATTTATTCTCATTGTAAACATAAGGATGTTTAAAGTATCTCACTTGTTTATAAATGTCAGCAGTCGCATTTAAACGCTCCATATTTATATTAACTTCAATGTATGACACGTCCGTCTGTCGTAAGCAACATTTAAAATCTATTATTTCGTTCACCTGCCAACAGTACGTCTTTCAAACCGTCCAATTTAACCACGGGCTATTCAAATTTATATTTTATAATCGTTATTCAACGACATAAATATATAGAGCAGGCCTAAAATATTATTCATTGAATAAAAATGTCTCATCGTATACAATATTATTAAATTACATAAAATACTGTATTTCCTCGATTTTAAGACACTTTTTCACGTTTTAAAATGTCTTAAATCGAGGTGCGTTTTACATTTTATTGCGTCTATGAATCGATATTGTGTCTTTATTCTGAAAATCTATTACTAAATCAAGGGTGCTTCTAATAATTATTAGAAGCACCCTTGATTTAGTAATAGGTTTCAGGATTATAATCGATGGCGTTTTAAAATGTTGGAAATACGGTATATGTGTTATTGAGGTCGGACACTATTGTTTCAAACATTTTTGTTATAGTCAATATCTATCCAGATATAAGGAAGGATAATTATTTACTGCATACTTTGTGATGTCTATAGTGTACTTGGCTTTGGAACAATGGATGTACGTCTCCAACAAAGTATTTGTATCTGCTATAAACATATACCAAATCGAAAGATATACACAAAATCGTAAAGATTGTAGAGAATGTTCTTGAGAAATGTGTAACAAACTGGAATTAGCTTTTCCTGTTGTTCACAAATGAGAAAGGTAATGTATCTGTGTAGTAAACCAAATTTGGCAAGCTGTCATTTAAATACTGAAGGATAACATTAGAAATTCAAATTTTTTCAATGAGATTATGAATTAAGAAATCCATACAACTTTAACTCTTAGATATCTCCCGTAAATATGTGATTATAATTCATATTTATTAACCTTTAGATCAAACCTAATAACTTAAAGTATTACAGTTTGCAAATACGCAATAAGTTGTTTACAAAATCTAGGTTTCTTCGTTTACGTCTCCAATATATCTGCTGTTCACAGTAGGCCCTACCAGATGAAAACGTTCAATTATTTATATTACAACTTTGACATCAAATTATTAGAATTACCACAAACACCTTGTCTGTTATTTTCCGCCGTGATGCCGTGTGATGATCGTTGTATGCATTTAACTTATGCCAGGCAACGGAACATGTAGCTTACAGTTGTGATTTTATGGCAAATTCGGCTGAAGTGAAATGATTTTGTAACTATATATGATACCATGTAGTTATTTTTGTTCACAGTGGTTAACCATATAATTTCCAATTCATTCTTTACTGATCATCATATATAGAGTGTTCCAAAAATTATACAAATATTGAATTAATGAAATAAATACAGTTTAATAAACTAAACCATTATATACGTCAGCATTGGCCCTTCGCGAATTAGATAATCTAATGTAAGTGTACACATCTTTCTGGGACACTCTGTAGTTCGAGTTACTTACTGCGTCGTTAAATTAATAACAGGGAATAAAAAAAGGAATATTACCTTAGGTGTAGATATAAATTTAAATTTTGCGCTGTCGAAATTTGTGTAATTTTATGCTTCAAATATGTCTCATGAAAATATTGTAGGGTTAATTTCAATTAAAACATCTATCAGTTAATCTTTTGTTTCCTGCTACTCGTTGAATAAGATAATGTTAACTTTCTGAAGCCAAAGCTTGTTTGAATATTGTTTAAGAATTCAGTCCCTACCGAAAAGAAAACGCTACACTCCACCATTACAAATATTAACTTATTAATGCTTTTGAATAAAAAAATCTCAGCTTACGGCGAGAATCATACGAAAAACATAAATAAAAAAATCAGAGTTTCTGATATTTAAAGCAGATGGTACGTATATTTACCACTGGGGTTTAAAGAGTAAATATTCTTGTTTTTTCTCGAGTTAATTAGTTACCGCACAGCCACTTACGACCATATATTTGCGTTAGCCTTATAAGTCGAGATGTTATTGGCTTAGGGCTTGTCCTTACAAATGTGAGAAAAATTTGATTATATGCAAATTGGATAATTTCTTCAAAACCTGATTAGTGGCACATACAATCTCGGCATCGTCATACCTTAAAATTCTGTTACCTTAAGCAACCAGTGTTGGCTAATAATAATCCTTCGTAATAGATTTTGTTAGTATTGGAACATAATCTAAATTCGGATTCATGACTGAATTGATACAACCTTCAAATAGTGAACAGTCATTGGATATAAATGCGGTAATAACAGCTTCCAAGAAATTACACTTCATAGATGTAATTTATAATTAAACGTGTGTTTTTATACTCTATGAAACTTAATTAAATATGCAAAGACATTTAAAACCGACACCTGCAAATTAGTGCATATGCTTTCCCGCAATGTACTAATGTCGAAGTAATTGCCGATACGTCACGGCGTAAGTCTGCAGTCTCAGAGTGAACTCATTAAGATTATCCGTTCCCCACTTAGGCTGCTCACAAAATAAATCCTTTTGAAATATATTATTTCCTATCTATACAGCTTTAATAAGCTCTTATTAATTTATTTAGTTGTGTGAATATTAAATTAATCTTTAACGATCAACGCTGGATAGTTTGAGCTGTTAATAATCTCGTTAAATAAATCAAAAATAAATGCTGTACTCTTAATATAATAGCTAATGTCCGTCACTCTTGTCTGGACGAGTGCTATTAGGAAAAAATCTTCAAATTGAGTTCTGACTATGGTGACTCTGGTAGCAAGAAATTAAAATTGTGGCGCTTGTGTTGGTGCATGGTGGAGTGTGCGTTTGTCGGGAGTTTTTTTGCGATCGGCGGGAATCTTTAATGAAGATATTTAAACATTTAATTTGGTTTAAAAATATTTGTTTAAGTTTTTTACTGCATGAAATTTGCAAAGATAATGGTACATTAAATTATATTATTTTTCAATACAAAAAATGTCTTATTCACGTTAACTTTTACAGGATTTATTCATCTTTGATAAACATTCTTCGTAAATCTGTAGAGAATTTTACACAGTAACAGGAGTGATTAGTTTCTTGGCACGTGAACAATAGTCTACTACAAGACACTAACACTGAACTGTTGTAACTTATTATTATATTGGGGTTACAAAAAGGAAATAATTCAAAATCACTCAACATTTCCGTTATTTATTTCTGTGGCGCCACACAACGAAAAATGTTGTAAATGGTTTTGTGCATTAAAACGTACATGTTTGCCTGAGATGAATGTCTTTGGACACATCACTTTATGCATTGGTGCAACTTAAATGGTTTTCTAGCAACTTTTATAGAGACAGGACTTAAGAAACAGTGATTTACTATTACCGATAGTGGTACGCGAATTGTTCTAAAGGACGCAGGCCAGGAAAATCTGATCATTCGTCCATCTTGTATGTATAATCTGATTTCATGAAACCAGATATAAAGTTATCAAGTTTACATATTTTAGACGGTTGAATACACCCCGGGATCTTCATAGAATATGTCGTTGTTGATTTATGGTTTATCTCAAGTTCTGGACTTGCCCTGATGATGGAGGCAGCAAGAATCTTTAAAATGTCTGTAAATTTGTACCTTACTATACGGTGTAACAACCCAGAAGACACCCATCTTCAAGAATTGCGTAGTTACGTTCAGTAGCTAGTTAGAAGTGCGGTAGAGAACTGTGAATCTAGTGTGTGAATTGTGCTTTCTTTGTATTCTTCCGCCCAGTCCCATTGTGTAATATTCTGACCTTAATTGAGTTGCCATGATGATAATTACCTTACGAGTTACACGTCATGGGGTCCATCATGTGACCTTGAGATACGACTCGTCGACCGTAACCATTGTTCGAGCTAGGTCTTTGCAGCACGGCTGAGTGTTGGGTTCGTGGAACCGTATCACGGATACGAAATCGTAAACCGAATTATTTCCAGTATAGAGTCATCTTTACTTTTCTGTGGATGTCAAAACATGTGGTCTGGATTGTAACGCCGTTTAGATTTGTAAGTAATTTCGGATACCAGATCTTTAGTCCTGACGATGGAGACTGTTGGTACACTCTATGCAACCCAGAAGATCAACTTTGACATCTTAACCGCAGTGAGAACTCCTTAGAGCTCACGTGAATTACGAATATTTGAAAACAAAGTGCTCACTAAAATATTTTTACATTGTATATTAATGGGACGATTAAAACAGGTCATCTGATATTTTTTGGATAGCGAAATTTAATAGATTAAGACAGACTTTAAATATGGGTTTCATTCGGTTCTCACTGTAAAAGGGACAATTTCCATAAACACCATTAACCAATTGATCTTTGTAATTGTGAAGTATTGTGTTTTGTTTGGGTTACAGACTGAATTTTTAAATATTATTTAAATTATCTTCGGCTTTAAAGTGTTACTAACCTTGAATATTATGGGCCATCTGGTCTACGTTATATTTTTATGACCTTCACGTAAATAGTTGTTGCATAAGGCAAGGGGGGGGGAATGAAAGATTTACCAATAAGAATGATACAGAATCTAATACAAAAGCTAGCCGGCTTACATGCGGCATATTATGAAAATATAGTGAAATTTTTATGCCGCGAAAGACTGGGAATTTTTTGACTAGATGAGCGACTGTTAGCTTCTGAAGAAGAAATGTACTCGATTGGTTTCGTTTCGTTAGGTGGCGTACCAGCTATGTTTTTTCTTAAGCAGATTTTGCACGGTACAGTTGACATTTTAATTAAGAATTAAAATGTGTACTAGGGGCTTTACCGCGCATGTACTCTTAATATTCTAGTACTTTATTGGAGATGCTTATGATAATGTTCTAGATTTATAAAATCTTTACATCCGCAGAAACGTAATCAGTAAACCATATTCAGTA